TGCCCAAACCCAAAAGATTGTTCCAGCATCAAACGAAGCCCTCGACCCACTTTATCTTTTTAAGCAAAGGATCTTACGGGTAGTAAATACCACTCTAAGTAGACTCCATAACCTAAGAGAGAAGGTTGTGTAGCCCGAGAGGAGAAACGGTTCTCAGGGTTTTTAAAATTCAAAAAAGGAGATGAAAAACATCCAGAAAGTCGCACTCTCTGACTTTTGAACTACAGTCGCGATACCGCCTCGAGCGTGAAACCCCGCTCGAGCAGCACTCACCAGACTCCGCTCCGCGAGCCGGCCAACTCCCGCGCCCGAGCGCAATGCACACTCCCAGTACAGTTCTATCGCAAGACAGGGCTCCCCCGTCGACGCGCCCGCCAATTTCCGCTCAGCGTGCCACCAACGACTATCCGCTCGAGGCGCCCAACACTACACGGACATCCCCGCTCGAGCGCCCAATTCCCGCTCGAGCGTCACTCAAGACTTCCCGCTCGAGCGTCCAACACTACACGACATACTGGATGGGTGTATTCCCCGCTCGAGCGTCCAAACCCCCGCTCGAGCGGACAAGCCAAAATCTGGGCAACTAGACTTGGTTCCTAAGCTCAACCAACCTGCTCCAAATCTTCCAACACAACCCAAGACTCAAAATAAGAAAATAATGAAATACAACAAACAATTATACAATGACGGAATCTACGGAACCTAAGTCCGGATACAATAATCAAATGGGAAAAGACCGGGTCGCTATAGGTACTATTTTTCTTCTTCTCTATATGGATGATATGATGATCACTGCAATGACACAGTGGGTATCTCTAGTCTCAAACAGTTTCTCAGTCGCCAGTTTGAAATGAAGGATTTGGGTCTTCTCAGCTTGGAAATCTCTCAATGATCCGACTGTTACTTTTCTCTCCCAAGCCAAGTATACTTCTGATCTCTTGGCTCGTGCTGGTGTTACCGTTTACAGACTGCCTCTACTCCCATTGATCTTCAGATTCGTCTCACACCTCTTGACAATCATTGTTGTCTGATGCTACTTTATATCGTCAACTAGTTAGTAATCTTGTCTATCTCACGGTTACTCGTCTAGACATTGCTTGTGCTGTTCACATTATTAGTCAGTTCATGACTGTTCCTCGCTCTCCTCACTATGATGCTCTAGGTCACATTTTACGATATCTCAAAGGTACTATGTTTTCATGGTCTTAACTACTTCACTCACTCTTCCCTACAGTTACATGCATTTTCTGATGCTGATGGGCAGGGGACCCAACTGATCGCTGTTCTACTACAGGATTCTACTTCTTCTTAGGTAACTCTCTCATTGCCTGCGTAGCAAGAAGCAAACTCTTGTTTGCTCGTTCTAGTACTGAGGCTAAGTATCGTGCTCTTGCTGACACTACTCAATAGCTTGTGTGGCTTCACTGGCTTCTTTCTGATATGGAGGTTTCTCATTTTACTACGATTAACCTCTATTGTGATAGTCTGAGTGCTATTCAAATTGCCCATAATGATGTCTTCCATGATTGCATAAAGCATATTGAGATTGATGTCACTTCATACGATAGCATGTTACTAGTGTACTGTTCGTTTTATATTGTTATTCTACCAATCAAACAGCTAATATCTTCACCAAAGCTCATCCTCCTGGTCGTTTCAGTGATCTAGTTTCCAAACTCAAGTTAGTTGATGCCTACCCACCTGAGTTTGAAGGAGACTGTTAATTTATGTTATTATATTATACTTATCTCTATCTCTATCTTTATCTCCTTGTATTTCTATCTCTATCTCCTTGCATCTTTATCTCTATCTCTTTGTATCTCTATCTTCTTCTATACTTGTCTAGATTTCTTTTCAGCCTATATATCTCCTTGCATCTCTATCTTCTTCTCCTTTTATCTCAGTCGGTGCATTACTGTAGCTGGTCTAACCATCGTATCCTGTGAGACAAATGTTGAACAATCTCCAACACCTAACCGGTGATGCGACGAATTTGTTTTAAAGACACTGTCTAGTACAAGCTTCAATTTGCTTCCTTTTGCTAGTTTTATTTTATTATAAGTTTCTATAAACTCCACCATGTTCTTGTTCTGAAATTCCAATTGTTTGTTCAATATGAATCTATTTGTTTTATTTAATTACATAATAGATACAACAAGCTCTCCCTCTGTCTTATCTATTGCTCCATCAACCCTCGCTAGCCAAACATGACTATAATCATGTTATCATAAATGGAATCTATATTAACAAAGAAATTTAAGGAAATAGTATATCTGTCAAAAATGTTTTATAAAAATTAATAAATTTGAATAGTAAAATCTCATGATATTTTTTAATAATAAGATAATTTTTCTGTAATTTTTTTTGATAATGTGATTATAATGTCATATTTATGGGTGATGTTGGTACACTAACAGAGTGAAGTGGTGATATGTGAAGATGGTGATAGGATTATCATGAATTCGAATAGAGTTATCTTTATGTCTGTAACACCCCGTTATTTTAATACAAATTACCAAAGAATGATCCTCAACAACGATAAAATATTCCTTTAAGACTTCTATGTAATATACTCTTTTTCATTAAACTATTTCCCATCAAGTACATAATTATTTCCAAAAATGAACATTTGATTATACATTACAGTTCAAAGATTAGAGTGATATGAAAGAGAATGCCCTAATGGCTTACATATTTCAAGACACGTGTCTTGATTACACAAAATGAATTTCAATCCCAAACATTAAAACTCGATAGCTTGAGCACAATTCAACATCCAATTGAGCATTTCATGCTCTATCAAAAGCAATCACCACCATCCATTATTAGGTGGAAACACATCACTTGTCTTAAAAGTTAATGATTGGGGTGAGCAAAGTTGTCTAGTAGAAAACACATTTAACAAAGGGTAAATACACTTTGCACCCCTGTACTTTGTACAAAATCTCACTTTAGCCCCTACACATGAAATCATGATAATCAACTCCCCGCACTTTTTTGGTCAATCCCACTTTGGTCTCTACACATAAAAAGTATGACAATCAACCCCTTGTACTTTTGGTCAAATCTCACTTTGATTCTTATACAAGTTTAATGTCCGATTTTAGTAATCAATTTTTTAAATCTTTAACAGAATCTATCATGTAATAAGAATGTGACTACGACATGAAAATAAGAAAAAAATATCATCTACATTTTTCACCGATACACACTTATCCCAAAATTTACATCAAAATATTATTGTATTAGGCTAAAAAAAAATACAGATTGTGAACAATTAAAAGATGAACTATGGTTTTGCATAGATTAGAATCATGAAACTTTATTTTTCACGGTAACACAGTTTTCTGTCTATTCATATTTACTTCTTTTGATTTCTTTGTCGCATTTTTTTTTAATTTCAAAGCTCTACTTTTTTCCTTTTCATCCCAACTTTTACCATACGAACATACATATATCTATATATATATATTGTTTTAATATAATTCTTATGTGGTTATCACATAGATAAAGTGTATTGATGGGAAACATGGATGATTTCCTCTCTTAACCTCATTTTCATAATCATATTTTTTGTCACATGACTAGATTTTGTTAAAGATTAAAAATTAAGTAACAAAATAAGAGACATTGACACTTGAGTAGGCACCAAAGTGGGATTTGAAATAAAAAGTGCAGAGGATTGACTGTCACGATTTCATGTGTAAGGACCAAAGTGGGATTTAACCAGAAGTGCAGGGGGCTAACGGCATGACTTCATATGTAGGAGCCAAAGCGAGATTTGATACAAAGTATAAGGATGCAAAATATAATTTACCCTTTAACAAAATATATAAATGCTTGAAAATAAGTAATTATGTTGTGCGCATGTTTCGACAAAATCTTTTTTTTTCGCCTTTTAAGAACACGCGATGCAATGACTTGTAATTGATATTAAGAATAACGATGGCCAATTACTCAAATTCATTAAAGCTACTCCCACAATGCTAACTCATAGTATGGTAGGCAATGGCACCTAAACGCACATAATCTTTCCACATTTGCCAGCTCATAATACGCAGGGCCAATAGACAACCAAAACATTTGTTTTCCCACACTTGCCAACTTGATACAGCAGGGCCGGTGGACACCTAAAAAATATTTCCACATTTCGTCCGACGATATGCTCAAGACAGGGGCAATTGGGCACCCAGACTCACGCGCGGGTATCAATACAATAGATCGACTCTTTAACACCATCTCTAAACTTTACTACCAAGACTCACACACAATTTGATCTTCTCTTTATATTCTCAACAACCAACAAGTGCCACCATCAAAAGGATCACTATGGATGCTATGTCATGTATGAGTTTTGCAAATGTTTCATGTCACCTAGGTTCAATTCAATCATAAGAGA